GGGGGGGGGTGATAAAAAAAAATGAAAATGATTATTTTAGACCACATCATGGTTACAGCCAATGGCTTCAGAATACAACTTAGAAGCTTTGATATTGTAGATAATGCAGGAGTTGCAAAGGGTTCAGTTTAAACCTACCAGCATGATCGATTCACAGAGTAACTGCTTTGTAGTACTGACAGATATGTTAGACACAGATGCCCATTTATTCAACTAAATCGTGATGTTCAAACTCTTCCGTTAGGTGTAGACTCTCTGAATGCAAATCACTGTAATAAGACATCTGTCTTTATTTATAAAAAGTGGGTCATTACTAACAATGCGTCAATGTACAAGGAAGATTTTAAAAAGTAAAAGGCAAAATAAAGTTAATGGCTTTAATGGAAGTAACTGAACATATCACTTTTCCACATTAGCCCCCTTACAAGAGGATGTACTTGTTGTATCATTCAACAAGCTTCTGTATTCCTGCAGAGAAGCAGCTTTCACGAAGGAGTGAACCTGCGACCGCAGATCGCCCCTTTCAGCGGACCAAACATTTAATAATCGCTCTGCACCAGATACGGGCTGTAAGGAGGATGCGGATCATGTCCAAACCCAAACTGTTGCACTGTCTCTACATCTGTATGAGGATGTGCATTGTCATGGAGCAGCAGGACTGTTTTGGACAGAAGGCCTCTTTTTTTGCTGCGAATTGCAGGCTTAATCATTTTTTAAACTTTATTTTATTGTTTATCCGATTAATCGAACTTAATAATCGGCTAACTAATCGATTTTGAAAATAATCGTTAGCTGCAGCTCTAGTTTATTTTGCCGCATTTCCCAGTAATTTGCACTGTTCACTGTTTGCCCATGCGCTTGATAATGCACCAGACTAGGCCGCCTTCATGTCCATGGTGCAATCTTACAACAGAGCCCCCATGCTTCTGTCCACGTGACTGTTACTCGACTGAAGACCGAGCGCAATACTGATGGCTGAACTAGCAAACAGGTTATTTAAATATGCTGCACTGCGCAAGCTTCTCTCTGTTCCAGTTACTGCATCATTTATAAATTGCCTTTACGTTTTGATTCTACCTCATTGTGGTGAAATCCATAGCTTATGAATTACTATGAAAGAGTGAGTCACTGGAATTATGCTAAATTTCCATTCTTAAATAACCATTGTTTTCAATTGTAATCTAACATCATGCTAACATAAAATTAATGATGAGGTTTACTTATGCGTTTGTATGTTAAGTATTGCATAGTGCCAGAAGGTGTAAACTCAGGGATGTATTTATAAAAACTGTCCAAAAACAGTGAACAGCTCTGTGAAGGAGTCTTATGCAGGGCACACACCTTGCAATGGTTGTAAGGTACTTAAAAAAAAAAAAATGTACGATCTGCCTATCTTGGACAGGCAGATCGTGCTTGCGATGATCGCAAGCCGCGCCCCCCCGAGGGGCAGGCTTCCGATGACCGCAATGCCGAATGGGCAGTGTGCGCTTGCGCACACCGGCCCGTCCGGCTTTTATCTTACGTACGATTCTCGGCGGGTTTTCAAACATGTTCGCAAGTGAAAAGTCGTGCGACCTTACAGTAGTAGAGGTTGCACGTCTTCCACACACCTTACGATGATCGCGGGATTACCCGCGATTATCGTCCGATTATCGTAAGGTGTGTGGGCACCCTTAAACTGCACTAGGTAGAGAGTGGAGCATAGGACGTTTATGTGCTCCTGGTGTGTAAGCTTTGTGAAATTATCCTTTTGTCTCCTTTCCATGGCATGCGTACACTTCAAAGTACTCACACTTCAAATACAGCAATTGACTGAACCTTTAGCAGATTCGACCAAACATTCAAATATGTATAACTTCATGTTACCCACATCCAACTATATTATAGAAAAGCAGTCACACGAAATCTGGCCACACAAGACATTACAAATCGGATGGTACAATTCCCTTTAGAATGGTCAACGGTGTAGTGAAAGCCTCTAGCGGCTTACATACCAGCTGAGCAAACTGATTAGGTTGCCCATGGCACTATTTATAAAAAGGTTACCAGAGCTGTTCAGTTTGGGAAAAATCGGACTTTCATATTTGCACCACGCTATGGCCACTAGATGGAGATGAGGAGCATAGGAGTTTCCTGTCCACCACGGCACCATCTAGTGGCCATAATACGGTGTGAAAGTAAAAGTCAGATCTTCCCAAACAAACAGCAGTTAACCTTTTTTATAAATACATCCCAAGGTGTTCGACTATAGTCACACTTACCTTCTGTATTTAGATCAATTAAAACACAGAATTAAAAACACAGAATAAACTATCTGGGAATTATAAAGAACATTATGCTCCCCTGGGCATTTTCACAAATACTCATACTCTTAATGAAAATGCCCCAATACTAAGCGCAGATACCGACGCTTTCAAAACACAGATGGCTGCTGTAAGGTCCCGCACTTGCTGGGGACCTCACAGCAGTCTTGTGAGGACCTACATGGCGCTGCGTGCAGCACTGGTCAGGCCACTTCCTCCTCCTCCTTCTGCTGCCCACATCATCCCATACCCACGAGATGCCACACAGGCCAGATGATAGGTTGTGCACAGCCATGGAGACACGCACGCGGCACAGACTCCTGAGAAGCCGCACAGCCCTGGTGAGCAATACACAGTATGTAGCTTCATATTATTCTGCATTGCTGTATAATGTATTGCTGTGATTTGTAGTCCCTCTACAGCTTGGAGTCAGTAGTGGCAGAACTACCAGTGGCACAGAAGTCGCAGCTGGGACTGGGCCTTGGCACTCCCACACTGTCCTAAAATCATTAGTCTGTATTGTGTCACACACACACACACACACACACACACACACACACACACACACACACTGGTATTGGTATAATCCTAGTTTCAATGCACTTGCCTTTAGGTATTTAGAGCACGTCATCCGTCTCTGGACACACAGGAATGTATTTTCTCTATAAGCAGCTAAACTGAATGCACCAAAATGCATATTATTAAAAAGCAGTCTATACATTTAGAAATGTTCTATGACGGCATATAATTGCAGGTTTGTGAATGAGGTCTTAAAGTGACAATTGACTTCAATGCACCGCCACGCCCCCTCCTGCCCCAGAACGCAGGGGGAAGTTTTGTGAGCGATTGTGGTGCTTTCCAGCAGCTACCGCTCTGGAACGCACCGCAATTGGTGTGAACAAGCCCTAAAGGAATACTGCAGGTAAATAAAACCTTAATCCTTGCAGTGAGGCTAGCCCCTGCACTGCAAGGGTTAAGTGCCCGATATGCCTAGAAGCTAAAATAACAAAGTTACACTCACCCAAACCATGATCCTAGTTTGCTATTAGACTTGCTTCCCCTCCATAAGAGTGGTCTAAGGTGACTCATTTCATGCTATACAGTGTATAGAACGGGAGGACGCTGGAGCGGAGGAGGAGACAGGCTGCAGGAGCCAGCATTACGGTTCAGACGAGTATAACTGTGTAATAGCTCACTAGACCAGGGGTAGCCAAACTCCGGCCTCCCAGCTGTGGTGAAACTACAAATCCCATGATGCATCTCTCTCTGGGAGTCATGTCTGTGGCTGTGAGAATCGTGCAATGCCTCATGGCATTTGTAGTGCCACAACAGCTGGGGGGGCCGAAGTTTGGCTACCCCTGCCCTAGTTAAAATGCGCACTTAAGCCTTGCAGTGCGGGGGTAGCCCCACTGCAAGGGTTAAGATTTGATTTGCCTGGAGTTCTGCTTCAGGGATTTGAGCAGATGGCTTGAAGTGCACGTTAAGCTCAGGTCAGCAATTAATCCCAATTACTCGAATGGTGTTACAATGATGACCGTTCCGAGACTGACCTGCTTTGTATGTCTCTGGGTGGTTTTATTCCCATAGGTTTACATTGTAGGCAAGGAAGGTGAACCGCATTCTCCATTTGACCACATACATTTCACCAGTGATGCGTGTGAATACAAGACCAGCAAAGGACAACACCCTTTTACATGCGCCCCAAACATTGCACAATCACACGTTACAATCTGATTAGACAACCTGGATTCCAAAAAAAGTTGGGACGCTGTGTAAAATCTACATAAAACAGAATGCAATGGTTTGCAGATCTCATAAACCCAGATTTTATGTTGGGGAACATTATTCTGAAATTGTTTGACAATTTTTAGACTGGTTAACCTCTGCCCATCTTTACTTCTGAGACACTCTGACTCTCCAAGATGCTCTTTTTATACCCAATCATGTTACTGACCTGTTGCCAATTAACCTAATCAGTTGTATTGTGAATAAAATACAGGTTTAGAAGATTTGTAAATCATTGTAGTCTATTTCCATGTAGATTTTACAGCATCCCAACTTTTTGGGAATTGGGGTTGTACAATTTCCTTAAGATCTACCAACAATTATGTAGTGCAAGATGCTTTCTGATTGGACAAAGGTTGATTCAATGGATCAGGTAGGTGCTCATATTATATGGTCAGATTGTATGGTGACCTTAAAAGAAGAATTAAGATCTTCACTCAGCCTCATAATCTGAGCCGACCTGCGACAATGAAACGGTCACAGGTCAGCTCAGTAGATCGGGAAGTAAGAGAACACATACCGGCGCTCGCTTACTTCTCGATCTATCCTTGCAGAAAGCCGTGACTGTCACTCACGGCTCCCTGCAGGGACCCCCCCCGATCCTCCAGCACTGACTGGCAGAACGGACGGGGAGGGGGCGGGTACAGCTGGCTCCGCCTCTAGATAGGCAAAGCCAGCTGTCAGTCACGCAGCTGGGTGGATCCAGACAGTAAAGTCGGGATCCTTTCCGGCGTCTCAGTATACTGCGAGCTGTAGCTCGCGGTATACTGAGCTTTGGGTGACGGGAGGACGCTAGTTTGTGTTCTCCCGTTACCCTTAGGAGAACTATGGGGAAAAGCCCTGACCCCATAGTTCGCCTTTAATATCAATGGTTGGAATGACAGATGTGGTCAGTGTGCAGCTAGATCATCAGCACCAACCAGGCGCTAACAACCATGGGGGAATCAATCAAAAGTGGAGCAGCTGTCCATGGCAACCAATCTGATTCTATCCTTCATTTTCAAAGCTAAGGCTCCAGTCACACCCAAACGTGTGCAATTCAGTGAATTTTAATGGACGCGCGTTCGCCACTACAACCACAATCAGAATGCGCTGCAACAGCCCAGAAAATAGCATATGTACCTTTTCTTGCATTGCAAGGTTTTGCCCATGTGTATAAACACACAGCTGTGAATGTTTCACATTGGAATGCAACACACTAAAGCTAGAAGGTGATTGGATACTAAGGACAACGGCTCCAGATTTGAGAAATCCCCCTCACCCCTCCAATGTAGAAATAATCTGCACCCTGGCTTGTGGCACTGACCTAAGCAGTGGTGTGCCAGTTCCTCCAATCCTGTAGGCAAAATGAAAGTAGTACATATTAGACTGAGATACAGGAAATGATACAGATCTCATGATAACCAGGGCTGCGCTCTTACACCTGGCATGGGATAGAACATCACTTATTTATAACACTGAAGGGGTCACCACAGGACCCCCTTACCTCCGGCTATATTCACTGATGGAGAGGACACCGGAGATCTCTTACCTCCCTGCTTGTCATCTTTTTCCAGCCCCTCCAGCACCCGCTTTACAAAGGTAGTAGACACGGCGTCCAGCCCCTCGAATACGGCTCCTATACAGTCCCCCATTAGCGCACCTAGCAGAGCCCCCCGGAAGCGGCAGACAGGAACAGACAGCATGGTGACCCCCTAAACGAATACACACAGCTACAACCCGTGACAGTTCAATAACCACTAGCCCCCAACCCTCAGTTCACACGCAGCCAATCACAGCTCTTGAATACTTCAGTACGCAGGCGTGTGCTCGTGACAGCAGGCGCTAATTGGAGGAGACGAATCCACTGGGGATGGCTACACCAATGAGCAGGAGCCTTTCTGACGAATCACAAAGCAGAAGGGCGGGCTTATGATAGACTATAAAGTTCCAGGTGAGCGGTAGGCGGGTTTCCCGGTGGTGAAGTGAGTTGTGACGTATGTGTGAGGGCTGTAAGGAAATTAAAGCGGATCCTCCTCACTTGTTACCCGCTTTTTGTCAGCTCACCTTATACAACGAGCGTGTTTTACGGGGAACGCTATCCCAATGCCTTCCTTCTTGCCTAGGTGAGAATTGTTTATTTAGATACCCACAATTAGAGATGGGAAGTTCGGATCTTTCAAATGAATCGGTTCATTTGGATCAGTTCATTCAAAAGAACCGATTCATGAATCGAATCTTCGGTAAACTAATGCTTCCTGTGCTATCTGTTGTTGTTTTGTTTTTTTTAGTATTCGGACAGCTGCTGCCGACAGAATAATAATTTTAAAAAAGACGGCATAGAAATTAATAGCTAGATTTCAATTGGCTATTTGCAATAGCAAACTGCCTATTGCACCGCCCACTGCTGCTGTCAATCAGCAGAGAAAGAGAGGAACTGATGGAGAACTTCAGGTCCACCTCTGCTGATTGACAGCAGCAGAGGGTGGGTGAAATAGCTAGTCCGCTATTGCAAATTGAAATAGCCAATAGAAATCTAGCTATTCATTTCTATGCCGTCTTTCTTTTGTTTACTCTGACGGCGGCCAGCGGCTCCGTTATCAGAGTTAAAAAAAAGACAGCAGGGAAAGGTTTACTCTGCTAGATCGAGCAGAGTAAACCGTTCCGGGAGAAAATGTTTCTCTCCTGGGAGCTGCTATCTAAAGGTGCCCATACACCTTACGATTATGGGACTAAACTCTTCGTCCGATGATCGAACCGTCGCACGATTTTCGTACGACGGCCCCATCCTGCCCCGATTATCGAAAGGTTCAATCAGCGATAGTTAAAAAAAAAAACCACCTGGACGACTTGCATTATTGACCGCAATTATTTTTGTTTGCGCATGCGCAGTGTTAATCGTACGACTTTTGACGGACGGAAACGCCACCAACCATGCGAACATCGTACGATCAACCAAAGTTTTAAAACATGCTTGACCGTCAAGTCGTACAATTGTACAGTACTATCGGTCGGGCACTCTATTCACACGTTACGATTGTCGTACGAAAAGTCGATCGCATACGATTACAAGCCTGGCTTGCAAGCCCCTTCAGTTGGCCATTGGGCTTCCTATCTGATAGACCTGAACTTTTTGAGAGGCAGACTTGTATGCCTTCCCTTCCATTTCAGTGGCTCGCAGTTAGAGGCAAGTTGCCGTAATCATATGGCTTTTTCCATGCTCGCACGCGCTTGAGAAAGAAACTATGATCACATTGTCAGTTGGACAGTGCAGTTCTCAAAAACTGGTGCAGATCTAATGATATTGCAGTGCAAGTATAAGTGCCGGTACCAGTACAGTGTCAGTAGGTACCATTACAGCCCCAACCAGTATACTTGTTGCCAGCAGTACCTGTATGCTTTCCAGCAGGTACCATTACAGCCACATCCGGTATCCTGATTACCAACAGTGCCAGCATGATGTCAGCAGTTACTTTTACAACCACAACCAGTATCCTGAGTGGCAGTTGTACCAGTATGTTGTCAGTAGGTCCCGATGAATCCACAACCAGTGTCCTGATCACCAGCCAGCAGAAGTAGCAGTGCCAGCAAGAACCAGCTTTGTAAGTACAATAAAAGTCCACCACTACTAAACAATGTAAAAAAAGAAAATCTACAGTATTGAAGAGGCGTTTAAAATGACAGATGACAGCGATGGAAAAACCTCACAGTCAGATTCTGATTTAGTCCCTCCATTTCCAAAATGGAGTAGTTTTGTGGGTGTTTCTGCTGGCATTCAGGGCCTCCAAAAAAGTGATAAGTAGTCAGGGAATCAGATGCGTAATTTATGCCCCTTGAAAGTTTCAAGATGCTCCTTAGGTTTTATGCGGCTAGTCTGCAAAAAAAAGTCTCGTGTTATCCCCATACTCAGGAGGACTAGCAAAATGTGTTTTGGGGTGTCATTCTAAGGATGTCTATACTGTGTGTTAGGTATATCTTATTAACTGACAACTTTGTGTAGAAAAAATACATTTTTATTTTCTTTCTTTATTTTCTTAAAGCTTGTGGCAAACAAAATTAAATTGTCAAAAAACTCATCATGCCTCCTATTAAATTCCATCGCGACCATGGACGTACATAGTACGTTATTGGCAGCACAGCCCTGTAAATGGACTCCTGGCGGCTTTAGCTGGCAGGACTCTGTTTACCTTTGTAAAGCTGGCTGCCTGCTTTACAATAGAAGCGATTCTGGCGGCTTAGCTGCCGCCAGATAGCTTTTATGGGCCGGTAAAGTGCCCGTCTGACACCCCCGCAGTGTTTCTCGGGCTCTGCTGCCCATCCTGCGGGATTGGAGCTAGGGAGGAGAGCGCCGAACATCTGTTCATCAATCTCCTCCCCGCTCTATGGGACAGGGAGCAATGCGTATTGCATCACTTCTGGTCCCTGAGCTGTCATTGCTCCTGAAGCCCAGCAATAAGATTTTAAAGTGTAATCTGCACTTCAATAGCTTATTTAAACTGGAAAGGTGATACTAGAGGTCTTTTGGATTCCCAGTATCACCTTAAAGAGGACCTGCCAATATGCTATCACATGCAGGGCTTGTAAGCCCCCCTATGTGATAGCAGTTAAAGCAGTGGCGTAACAATCGCCATAGACACCCAGGCGGCCGCTATGGGGCCCGTGGCACGGCCAGGACATCCCTGATGCCGTGCGGGCCGTCTGGGTGGCTATGGCATCTCGTGCTGCTGGCTGTCACTGGCAGCTGTGAAGAGGAACGTGCCGCTGTTCAGATCACTGAACATTAGATTCTGATGTAGCAGAATACATTTTGGCCTAAATTTATGAAGAACGATTATTTGTGTAATCTTTCATAACATAACTTAGTGAAAACAGTTTGTTTGTTTTTTCAAAATGTTCAGTATTAGTTTCTTAACATAGTAAAAAAAAAAATAAACCCCAATGGCGACTAAATGCCACCAAAAGAAAGTTCTTTCTGTCCCATAAAAATGATGTAAAATTCATTTCAGTAAGGCATTGCATGATTTAATAATCGTCAGCCAAAGTACCGCAGTGCTGTAAACTGAAAAATGGCCTGGTCAGGAAGAGAGTTTAACACCCGGTCTTCAAGTGGGTAAATAAAATCTTTCCATTTTCCTTGCATACCTTATTTTAGACCAAGTGATGTCACCACTAGGTCTCTTCTCGCTTCTCTTTGCAATGGTGGGAGGGGTCAGCAGGGTGCTGTACATAGCTTGTTGTAACAAGCCCTTGTACTCTTCTCAATAACCCTCAGCCCTGAGGGCTGCCTTTTGGGAGGAGTTATGCATGTACAAAAATGCCTTTATGGGTGGGTGTCAGTTTGGAAGAGTATTGTTGTGTTTTGCAGTGTCATTACAAATAACAGAATGTGAGCCCAGCAACAGACAGGGTAAGCAATGTTAAAAAAAAAACACAAATGTGGTAAAAAAAATCCACTGAATGGTAATATTCAGTCAGCATAATCCTTATGAATATTTCTAAACACACAGCTAAATTGCTATATATGAGGCTTGTAACACTTTCAGGGCCAGTTCACACTAGCTCCGGTGCGTTCCAGCACGATTTGCTCCAGAAACGCACTGGAGCGCATCCTGGCTGGCTTCCTGCGGGAGGGGGCGTGGCGTTAAAGTCAATGGCACTGCAGCTATGCCCCTGCCCACAGTGCGATCGCCGCACCAGAATGCGTGGCACATTAGTACCTGCATTCCGGTCCAGTGTGATCTGAAAAAATGCACTATTTTTTCAGATCGACTTCAAAGCTATTGACTTCAACTCACCCTGTCCCTCCCATAAAGGCAGGAAGCCGGCTGGGATGCGCTCCAGTGCGTTCCAGCAGCAAATCATGCGGGTGTGAACCAGCCCTTAAGACAATATTAATAATGTGCTGTGAATTTGTGGTTTTAAATGATGCTATAGAATTTATAACGTGTATAGGTAATTTATTATATTGTATAAATGACAGAAAAATCAGTAAAATGACCATTCCCTCTGTAAACTCAAGCTAGTTCCAGATGTTGACTCTTTAAGGGGGAAAGATGGCGATTGGTGGTTCTGTTGAAGGAATCCATGGTTGGAACATACTTCTCCATAGGCATGGTGAGCTTCCGGCGGGTATCAACAGATTTGTTGTCCAGGTTTAGGGAGTTTTCTTTACATTTGATATCTGCTTCAATGCGAGCAAGATGTTTGTAGAGTGCATCCAGTGCATCCCTGCAGGAAAACAAGAACAAGGCTTTCACTCATGTTTAATGCTAGATTTTATTCATTCTAATCTCACATCGGACTAAGATTCACAGTTTTATTTAATTCTCATTCTTAAAAATAAAGTTTAGTGTGTTGTCACCCAGCACCTAATTTGAGTTAGTATTGCATTGTTTACCTAAAATAATTAATTATGTGACTTTTACATTTTGCCTACTAGTGGTCTAATTTTTTTGCAATTGTATTAAATGTAAATTAGCCAATATGGGGTCGATTAGCTAATACAATTGACTCTACTTATCTCCTCAACAACTTTTGTGGTCAGATATCAGTCATATAGGGAGTGCTATGGTTTCAGTTAGTTGACCGACTGATAGACTTGCATTAATAGGAGTAGTGAAGCAGGAGTGTTGTGTAGCACATGAAACTATGACTGACTATCAAGAATGCAGCACGCATAGTGAGCATAGGAAGTTATCAGCTGACAAGATTCCTTGCAGGACTAACAGGTATTTTTTTTGTCA